TACCCAGGCTGGAGTGCAATGGCGCAATCTCGGCTCACCGCAACCTCAGTCTCCTGGGTTCAGGCAATTCTCCTGCCTCAGCCTCCTGAGTAGCTGGGATTACAGGCACGTGCCACCATGCCCAGCTAATTTTTGTTTTTTTGTATTTTTAGTAGAGACGGGGTTTCACCATGTTGACCAGGATGGTCTCGATCTCTTGACCTCGTGATCCACCCGCCTCAGCCTCCCAAAGTGCTGGGATTACAGGCTTGAGCCACCGCGCCCGGCCTTTTTTTTTCACTGTATAGAAAAGTCTTCTGCCAGACATAATTTGGAATTTTAACTTGTGATTAAATTGTTGGGGACAGAGACCGGGTCTGGAGTAAATCTCAAATTCTAATCCCAGACCCACGGCATTCAATGAAGTGTGACCTTGATTAATCTATGAGCCCCAGTTTCCTACCAGCCCGGTAGATCATGGTAGATCATCGTGAAGATTCAGCAGATGATTTAGATAAGAGCTCGGAAATTCTGTAAGAGTTCTCAGCAACAATGGTTTTCACTGATTCCAGGTAAACGTTGTGAGGGCTAACAATGGTGATGCCATTTTACAACGCTGATGACTGTGTTCTCAGAAACAAAGCATGTTAACCCTGCCCATAGTTTCAACATTACATAACAGAGCCTTAAAAAGTCCCAGACAGTCCCAACTAGCCAGCACTTCCCCGACTCCTCCCCAATAAAAACTTTACTATAAAAGCCTCAGCTAGGGCCGGGCGCGGTGGCTCACGCCTGTAATCCCAGCACTTTGGGAGGCCGAGGCGGGTGGATCACGAGGTCAAGAGATCAAGACCATCCTGGTCAACAAGGCGAAACCCCGTCTCTACTAAAACTACAAAAAATTAGCTGGGCATTGTGGCGCGTGCCTGTAATCCCAGCTACACAGGAGGCTGAGGCAGGAGAATTGCCTGAACCCAGGAGGCGGAGGTTGCGGTGAGCCGAGATCGCGCCATTGCACTCCAGCCTGGGTAACAAGAGCGAAACTCCATCTCAAAAAAAAAAAAAAAAGCCTCAGCTAGAGGCAGGGTGGGTGCCGGGGCTTACGCCTGTAATCCCAGCACTTTGGGAGGCGGAGGAGGGCGGAACACAAGGTCAGGAGTTAGAGACCAGCCTGACCAACATAATACTAAAAATGCAAAAAATTGGCCAGGCATGGTGGCAGGTGCCTATAATCCCAGCTACCCAGGAGGCTGAGACAGGAGAATCTCTTGAACCCTGGAGGCGGAGGTTGCAGTGAGCCAAGATTGCACCACTGCACTCCAGCCTGGGCAACAGAGCTAGACTCCATCTCAAAAGGAAAAAAAAAAAGCCTGTAAGCAATCAGATTGTAAGCAATCAGGGTCTCTGCCAGACTCGACTGGAACTCCTCACAGGCTTGTTCCTGTGAATAAACCTGTCTGGCTGTTGAGCTGCCTCCTGTCTCACTCTCTCCCATCTTCCTAACATGGTGCCGAAACCCAGGATGGGTCTCATAGCAGAGGTGCTCTCTCTCTCTCTCTCTCTCCCCCCCCCATCTCTCCTCTCTCTCTTTCTCCCCCAACCCCGCCCTTCTCTCTCTTTCCTCTCAAATCCTCCCGCTCCCAGCCCTGTCTACCACCCTTCATCACATTTCACAAGGGGGCTCCTGGCTTCTGCAACCCAGTAAGCAACAGGCAATGGAAGCTCACCCCAGGCTAGCCCCTGGACCCCAAACGGCACCCCCAGCCTTCATACCACACTCTTCTTTTTCTTCTCGCCTCCATACCCCTTCCCTTTACTTGACAACTCCCGCTGAAGGCCACCGCCATTTCACCACTTGTGGATCCAACACTGGCCACTCATCACTCAGGACTGGTAAGATTTCGGTGGCCCTCCCTTGGCACCAGGAAAGAATTGCTTCAAATAATGTAACACCAGGCAATTCCGGGGATCTGGAAACAAAGGGGACACCTTCTCTTTCTAGTCTCCCCAGTGCCCCCTTGCGTTTTTCTAGACAGAGTCTCTGTCTTGTCACCGAAGCGGGAGTGTGACCTCGGCTCACTGCAACCTCCACTTTCCACGTCCAAGTGATTCTCCTGCCTCAGCTTGCTGAGTAGCTTTACAACATGCACCACCGCACCCGGCTAATTTTGTATTTTTAGTAGAGATAGGGTTTCACCATGTTGGCCAGGCTGGTCTCAAACTCCTGACCTCAGGTGATCCACATGCGCCTCAGCTGGGATTACAGGCATGAGCCACTACACCCATCCTGTTCATTTTTTTTTTTAGACAGAGTCTCACTCTGTCACTAGGCTGGAGCGCAGTGGCACGATCTCGGCTCACTGCAACATCTGCCTCTGGGGCTCAAGCAATTCTCCAACCTCAACATCCCGAGTAGCTGGGACTACAGGTGCACACCACCACACCCAGCTAATTTTTGTATTTTTAGTATAGATGGGATTTCACCATGTTGGCCAGGATGGTCTCAATCCATCTCTTGACCTCATGATCCTCCCTCCTTGGCCTCCCAAAGTGCTAGGATTACAGGCGTAAGCAACCTTGACCTTCCAAAACTGTATTATAAAAGTCTCAGCTTGTAAGCAATCAGGGTCTCAGCCAGACTCCTGACTGGAACCCTCTGCAGGGTTATTCCTGTGAATAAACCTGTTTGCTGTCAAGTTGCCTCTTGTCTTTCGCTCTCTTCCCTTATATCTTCCTAACAAGAGTGGCTGAAGGAAATTTAAGTGTTCCAAAATTGAGAGCAAAGATCTTTTTCTCTAGAGAACGTGGTTGGGGAAGCGAGGAGGAAGAGGTGAGATAAAATAAGATGACAGGCCAGGTAAGGTGGCTCATACTTGTAATCCCAACACTTTGGGAGGCTGAGGCGGGCAGATCGCTTGAGGTCAGGAGTTCAAGACCAGCCTGGCCAACATGGTGAAACCCTGTCTCTACTAAAAACACCAAAATTAGGCGTGGTAGTGCACGCCTGTAATCCCAGTTACTGGGGAGGCTGAGGCATGAGAATTGCTTGAACCCAGGAAGTGGAGGTTGCAGTGAGCAGAGATGACACCACTGCACCCCAGGCTGGGTGGCAGAGCAAGACCCTGTCTCAGAAATAAATAAATAAATAGGATGACAATGTTGCTGAACTTCGTTAATTCAAAACTGAGCAGGAGCCTAGTTTGTGCCAGGTACTGTGCTTTCAGCCAGGCACATCAGAGGACCAGGAAACAGTTTCTCCGAAAGCAAACCAGACCAGATTCTTACTTTACCTAATAAAGGAATAGGGAACCATCACGTTTTTTTCCCCTTTTATTTTTAAGACTTAACATACACATAATAAAATACAAAAAGTGCACGAATCTTAAATGTACAACTCAATGATTTTTTTTTCATATGTTAATGCCCCTGTAACCACCACCTAAACGAACAGCCCTATCATTCTATTTTGGAACTGTTCAAACCTACAAAAAAGTTGCAAGAATACTCTTTACTTCTTTTTTTATTTTTATTTTTATTTTTTGAGACAAAGTTTTGCTCTTGTTGCCCAAACTGGAGTGCAGTGGTGCCATTTTGGCTCACTGCAACCTCCAACTCCTGGGTTCCAGTGATTCTCTGCCTCAGCCTCCGGAGTAGTAGGGATTACAGATACGTGCCACCACAGGCGGCTATGTTTTTTTTCTTTTATTTTTAGTAGAAATGGGGTTCACCTTGTTAGTCAGACTGGTCTTGAACTCCTGACCTCAGATGATCCACCCACCTCGGCCTCCCAAAGTGCTGGGATTACAGGCATGAGCCACTGCACCCAGCCCTTTAAAATTTTTTTTTTGAGACAGCCTCCCTCTGTTGCCCAGGCTGGCATGCAGTGGCTGGTCTTGAACTCTCAGTCTCAAGCAAACCTCCTGCCTTGGCCTCCCAAAGTGCTGGGATTACAGGCATGAACCACTGTGCCCCACCCACTTTTTCTTGATTTCTTTTTTTTTCCTTTTTTTTTTTTCAGACAGGATCTTTCTCTATTACCCAGAGTGCAGTGGTGTGATCATGGCTAACTGCAGCCTGGAACTCCTGGGCTCAGGTGATCCTCTCACCTCAGCCTCCTGAGTAGCTGGGACCATTGGTGAATGCCACTATACCTGGTTAATTATTTTATTTTTTGTAGAGATGGTGTCTTGCCATGTCAGTCAGGCTGACCTTGAAATCCTGGGCTCAAACAATCCTCCCACCTCAGCCTCCCAAAGCGCT